CCTCAATTGTTTCCGGCTGGCTCAGGCAGTTCCAAGTGGGTCAATGATTTTTAAAAGACAGGTAGAATAGAGAGGCTAAATAAATAGGGATGGCAACGGATCGGGTCGAACCCAAAAATATCATATGGGACCCGGACTTGGACCAAGACCCGACTGGACTCGAATGCATCGGACCTGGATCCGGATCCGAAAATATAGTGACCCAAACTCAGACCCGACCAGACCATACCCAAATTTTTTTAAAAAAATATATATTTAAATAGATAAATGATCCTATAGGACCCTCTCCCACCGATGTGTATAGGACCCCATAGGATCACCATTAAATTTGGCACGGATCTCTAAAAAAGTCAAGTCCTACATCTATATAACTTTGTTTTATAGGGATCCGTGCCAAATTTAATGGTGATCCTTTGGGGTCCTACACACATGGGTGGGGGAGGATCCTATAGGATCATTACTCATTTAAATATATTTCATATATTGGAATCCGAAAAATATTACCAGACCCGGACCTGAAATCAAATAATGTTCAGGTCCACGATTTGGACCTAGACCTAACCTGCCAGGTCCAATTTTTTGGACTTAGATCGGGTCTACCCCTTGAGTCCTAGGTTATTGCCACCTCTAAAAAAAATAGAAAAAGTTTATATAAGGGCAAGACCCTGAACAATTAAATTAAGTCGGACCTTAAAAATCGAATATAAAATGTTGTTTCAATACCAAAAAATCCTCAAATTGATCATCTCGACCTCAAGATGTATGGATATGAGAAAAAATGGATTCCAAGTGTTGAAAACAATTCATCTTGTAATATATTTTTGGACTGACAATTTTCAAGTGTTCATAAATCAGCTCGATGTACACTATTTTTTAAGCTTTAAACTTTATAATTAGATATGAAAATAAAATTTTCTGCCATCACAAAGATTTTCAGTACCAAAAAATACATTTCGACACTAATTAAAGGTGTGCCTTATTTTGATTATTTTGGGCCTCAACCCTTACAAATCACACTCTATGCCTCGGCCTTACAAACCACACCTTAAATAGATAGGGTGTAGTTTGTATAAGATCGAGGCTCTGAACAATCAAAGTAAGGCGTACCTTTTAAATAGTATCGAAAAATGTTGTTTCAATACTGAAAATCTTTATGATGGTCTGGAATTTTATTTTCATTTCTAATTATGAAATTTAAAGCTTCTAGTGTACAGATCTACGAACACTTGAAAATTTTGAAAATTGATGGTTCAAAAATATATTATAAAATATACTATTTTCAATATTTAAAATCCTACTATTTTTAATATTTAAAATCCATTTTTTCTCATATCTATGTATCTTGAGGTCAAGGTGATCAATTTGAGCATATTTAAACATCAAAACAATCTTTTCTAGTGCGTCTTAATTTGATTGTTAGAGGCTCGCACTTATATAAACTTTATCAAAAGTGGAGGGCAGCTAGGATAGTGTTTGAATTTGAAAAAAAAAAACTCCATGCCCGTTAGAGCGAATGGACCCCACTGGCCCCTGCTTTTCTTGATGTTCAAAAGATTTCACTTTTTGGGGTTTTGAATTTAATAAACTTTTTTGTACGTTGGATTTCAAATTTTTATATCGAGAACGATGAAGAGGGTTGCAGGGGTTGACTGGAGCCCCCCCACCCCTCTCTCTCTCTTTTTTCTTGCACCTCAAGACTTCTTCGAAAAAAAAAAAAAAAGGAAGACCAACTTTAAGCAAATAAATATCCTTTACAAAATGAAAAATTACCCAAAATATGTATTTTTTCATATCGAAAAAGATTTTTTTTAAAAAAAGATTTATATGTTCCTCTTACAATATAGAAGTTCTATTTTCCCTACTATCCAACCGTCCATTTTTTAATGAAGGGCTAAGATTGCCTCAATCACAATGCTACGTCTCTACACTGTTTTATTTTTTTTTATAAATTGTTTTGACACCAAATTTTGGACGTCCGTTCCTATATTAAACTCGCACTAATGAAAAAATATATAAAAAATATATATTTAATAAAATAAAATAACCAAAATACCCTTAAAATATTCTAGGGGTATTTTGGTCATTATTTTTATTGAAAATTTATTGTTAATATTTTTTATAGGTGTGTCCCAATGAGAAGATGGCCTATACCAAATTTCATATTGAAATGAATTGTATTAAAAAAAGTAAAATTAAAATACTTTGAGACGTCGGATCTAAGATCAAACCATATGTAGCTCTCTTGATAAAAATGGACGACTGGATGGTAGGGGGAACATAGAACTTCTATGTTGTAGGGGGAACATATAACTTCTATGTTATAGGGGGAACATAGAAAGTTTTCATCTGAAAAAAGAATCAATGTTTCAAATTGGGTTGAATCACCCACCCTACACATATGAGCCAAATTGCTGGATCGACAATTTGAATCGATTTGGATACCCGAAGGCCCTTGCGGCACCGTGTGCCTCGACGCTCAACTCGATGCCCACCAACCATACTGCCTGGGTATACCATGCTCGGGCATCCCATCGGCCGTTGAGGCCCCCTGCTTTCAATCGTGCGTATGGTGATGCACCCAGGCAAGCGACACCGTGCATTGAGGTGGTATGGGTTGTGCGTGGGGAAAACATATGCCAGTTTGACCCCATTAGGTGTCACTCTGGAGTTTCAGGTGTTTTAAGTTATCGTACATTGTTAAGGGGAATGGGGCGGCCCCTCGTGTTGCTTTCGTTGGACCCGTCATGCTGCCGAGCCTCGTGGCCACGCACCGCTCCACCCCGTGTCTCGTCGTTGGTCCATTCGTTGATCCGCTATGACTCATCTCCATATCTCGTAGCTAGCTCGGAACATAAAACATATATATTAATAGAGGTTTCTATAGTGGAGATTTAGCGAGGAATTAAGAAAATATAGATAGGGTTAAAAAAAAAAAATTGAAATAGGGAATTTTTTTTTGAGAAAGTATAGAATGAGACTATTTACCTTTTATACGAGGTGGTCATAATAATCTTGACCGTTGGATATAAAGTTGGGTGATTGCAATTATTCCATTGACCAAACTCAAACTTCAAAAGAAATGTTCTCAAACTTTGTGACACATCCAAACTATCAAATTTCATATCAAATGGAATTGTGACCGCCTTGTATAAAAGGTAGATGGTCTCATTATATACAATTTTTTTTTTTTTTTGGGTTTTTTTGGACTGGTGGGGGAGGTGGGGGGTTGGGATCAATACCTTGTTAAATATGGTTCAGTTCGAGTCGATGCAAATTTAAAATTACCCCAGCATGCCTATTTTCTCTTGCAGCTCAAGACCAAAAAATTTGACCAGCTTTAAACGATCAAATATGTTACCCAAGTATACCTACTTTTTAAAAAATGTTGTAGTATCCATAATTCTTTGCATCATTGAGAAAAGGAAAATTGTTTTATGCGGCTACATATGCGGTCAAAAAGTGTAAAGCATTCATTTTAAAGATGGATGCACATAGGTATTCCATCTAAAAATAATGAAAACTAACGGTTCAAATGTTTTCTTACTATAATTATTAGTTTTAATTTTTAAAATTTATTTATTTTTTCATATTCTTGATTTCCATGTTAGAGATTACATGTCTTCAAAAATTAAGTCTTACAATCCATCTTTATTGAGAGGCCCGCAATTTTACATACGTGAGCTTGGCCGCATAAAAACCAGGTCTAAAAAGGAAAAAAGTGGAGTGCTTCCATTCTTATTGGTCTCACAACATATCCAATTTTTTGAAACATGGCCATAATGGCCTTGAGTTCTTACCCATTTTTTAATCATTTTGTGAAATTTTATACAATAGTAACATGAAATTCCTTTCTAACACTACACCAACGTCCACTTATTATTGTTTAAATATTTGTATTATTAATTCTAGGAGATTAAAATTACATAAGACAAAAATGCATGTAAAAGCCGGGGCATATACCAAGTGCACATAAAGGTTAATCATCACCACCCATTAAACAGGTTTCTTAATGTTCAATTAGGACTTAGGCCGACTTAATTTAGCTAATATTTTAAAAATAAAAACCAGACCCTAACTCATCGAAGAGTTTGATTTTGATTGACTTGGTTAGACTCAAGTGATTCTCGAGTCAAAACAAGCTATATTTGATAAAAAAATTTAAAAAAAAAGCTAAAAGATTGAGAGATTTGGACAATTCCAAGATTTGTTGGGCTGAAATTGCCTAATTGTATACCTTTGGTACAAGGTCATAATCATTTACTTATCATAAAGTGTCAAATCGGGCATCCGGCGGTGCATCACATAGTTTGAGAAAACTAATTTTGGATTTTGAGTCAGTCAATGACACATTCTGTCTGATTTCAAATATAACAGTTAATAATGATTGTGACTTTTTTATGTTTAAGGTAAATAATATTATCCCAATATTAGTTAAAAAGATAAAAAGTGGATTATACATATTGAAATTGCTACCTTCTATACAAATCATTGACAGTGTAAGCCATCAGATGTAGAATCAGAAGAGATTGTATATGTCATTTTTTGGTTTAAATTTTAATTAAAATTTTTACAATAAATAAGGTTGATAGTATACCTCAAGCCACTCAATTTCATATATAAGATCTTATCAAAGTTAAAACTCTTACTATATTACTTTCCTTAAAAAATATAAGCCTTTCAAATCACCTAAATGTGTTTTCTAAATCAAAAACAAATGGTATCATTTTCCCAATTGGAATTATGACATTAGGGCTAACAAGGAATAAAAGACCAACTCTTTTAAATATGTGACCACAATAAAGGAAAAACATAACAATGACAAAAATGCATGACTTTGTGTTTGGTTCTGTTTTTGTTTTGGAAAAAATTAAAATGATAATTTATTAATTTTGCAAAGGAAGGATGGGTTTGGTAATTATATAAAAGATAAGGACATTTCCAGTACTGATATCCCTCTGCAGTCTACCCATAAATCCTTCTCTCTCTCTCTCTCTCTCTGTGCAGTGTACCTATAATTGTGCTCAAATAATGCACTTTTCGGTCAGTGCATTTGAGTGGTGTTTTTCCATCATATAATCTCTCTAAAGAAGCTTCAGGTACTTAAATTTGGGATTCTCCATTGCTCAAAGATGAGTGCTTCAAAGTTCATCAAATGTGTCACAGTGGGAGATGGAGCAGTTGGAAAAACTTGCATGCTCATTTGCTACACTAGCAACAAGTTCCCCACTGTCAGTTTCCTCTCCTTTATCTCTTTACCTTGAATTCAACAGCTTAATATCTTTCTTTTTTTTTATACTTTTTTTTTTTTTTTTCAGAAAGAGAGCTTAAAGCTTAGATGCAGGTCCTTTTAATCTCTGCATTGTGGGTCTTGGACTATTTTGTAAGGGAAACAAAAAGAAAAATCAAAGCTTAAAAATATTTGTTCTTGGTTTTTTTAAATTAATGGGACTTGGATTAGTTTATAAAAAAGCAAATAATAAGAAGAAGAAGATTATGTTTATTTGTAGTTTAATATGGTAGTTATTGAAATTGTTTTAAAAAATCAAAAGTGGGTATTTTGTGATTCTGAAGGATTTGCTCTAAAAATGATGTTCATGTGTCAGTGGTGGGTGGGCTTCATTTTATCTGGTTTTGGATTCAAGTTTGTCAAGTAAAAATAAAAGTTTTTGGGCTTCTCATTGTGATGGATTTTTGCTTGGTCTTTTTTTTTGTTGAATAATTTTATGGTCATTATCTTATTCTTGGCTATCCATTTTCTGTTTTCTTGTTGGTTTCTGTATTTATTAGTGAGAAAAACCTAAAATCTTATATTCCTCACTAGCTTCTATTCATGCGGACCTTGGTTGGATAATGTTTAAGGATCAAGATAAAATTCTGTTTAAAAATCATCGCTTCCTGTTTATTTTTTTTATTTTTTTCTGTTTTGGATTTTGTTCTTGGTTTGTTTTGTTTTGTATTCATATTTTTTATTCATAATCTGCGCTCTTGTTTTTCCTGGGTTTGGCTTTTGGAATTTATTTTTCTTCTGTTTGGTTTTTTGGTCTTGTAATATGAAACCAAGCTTCAGATATATATTCTATTTTTGTCTTGCTCACTTTTCTATGGTTTTTTGATCTACATTTTGCATTTCCTTTGCTTTTTGTATTTTGCTTTTTCATTTCCTCTGAAATTGTATTTATATTTTTCTCATTTATGCCTTTTTTCTCCAAAATGTTTTCTTGAGTTTGTAAAACTTGTTTACTTATTAATTTTCTTGCAGTTGGGGCTTTTTCTGTACTATTGTACTTTTTCTTGCTCATCAAAGTTTTATTATGTTTACATGCCCTGCCTTCATTGAATTCAGCCTCAAAGAATTCCTTTCTTCTCAAATTGTATTTAATTATTTACTAGTTGCGATATTTTTTCAGGACTACGTACCTACTGTTTTCGATAACTTCAGTGCTAATGTCATAGTGGATGGAAGCATTGTAAACTTGGGCCTGTGGGATACAGCAGGTATATAATTGATTTTAATTTATTTTCTTGTCCTTTCAGGTGTCATTTTCCATAATTAATGTAAGAAATTACTCAGTTTCCTGGTTCTTGATTTAAGTTTTTCGGCTCTTTCCCTTTATTGTGCCTGGGTTTCTTGACTAAATCTTGAATAATTGCAGGCCAAGAGGATTACAGTAGGCTGAGGCCACTGAGTTACAGAGGAGCTGATGTATTTGTCTTGGCCTTCTCTTTACTCAGCAGGGCCAGCTACGAGAATGTGCTTAAGAAGGTATCTCTTACAATTTACAAATATAATAAACTATGATTAAGTTTTCATGCATATGGACTGAACTTTTCATTTTTAATTTTCTTAAGAGAAAAACTCTAAATTTTTTTGAATGTTTTGGTTTACTTATACATGCTTTAAATCTTGAATTGGATCGTCTCATTTGGGTTGTCACCAGTGGATGCCTGAGCTCCGGCGATTTGCTCCCAATGTTCCAATTGTTCTTGTTGGAACCAAACTAGGTGTGTATATAATCTTACTTTTCAGTACCTGATATAATTTGTTCACCTCTTCTCTTTTTCAATATGGATAATTGTGTAGCTAATTTAAGTTTTTCCATTATTTCAGAATTGCATCTGATTATGATGTGGGTTAAATCTAATGAAGGAACAAAAGAAGTATAGAGTTTGGTCTTGTTTTGTTCTAAGCTTACACTGTTTATACCATCCAGATCTTCGAGATGATAAAGGGTATTTTGCTGATCACCATGGAGCTGTTTCCATAACATCTACCCAAGTCTGTATTCTATATTCTCAAATTTTTAATTATATGTGTTTTCTTTTGAATTTGGTTAAGTTGGGGATGTGTGCACCTTTGCAAGTGCACTGATTCACACAGAAGTGTACAATTCAAGTGGTTATGTTCATGTTTAGTGTTTTTATGGTGAGATGTTATATTTATTTTAATGAATTTTGTCTTTGTAGTGTGGGATTTTGACTTAATATTGCTATAAATTAGGGAGAGGAGTTAAGGAAACAAATAGGAGCTGCAGCATACATAGAATGCAGTTCAAAGACTCAACAGGTAGAATGCATGGCCTTTTGGAGAACTTTTTCAAAGTTTTTGGTTGATAAGTAGCATTGGAATACTTGATATCTTCATCATGCCATCCATTTTTACTCTCTCTCCCACTCTCTCTCTCTCTCTCCCCGGTGAATAGCACTATGGTTGGAAGGATATAGACCGTTAGATTTGCAACGCTGACTTTGCATTTGGTGGTGCTGCATCTTCTGTTTTCTTTTGCTTCATACCTTTTTAACATTAGCAACTAGTCTATGCTGTAGAGTAATGGCAAGTTAGATATTGTATCTTAGACATTAATTAGTGCTCTGGCCTCTACACTAAGCCAAGATGTATAATCTCCTGTCTTATGACCTCTCTGTATATTTGCTATAGGAAATAGGGATTTATTCTCTCTCTGGCATTATTCTCCCTCTCTCTCTCTCTCTCTCTCTCTCTCTCTCTCTTTCACACACACACACACACACACACGCACACACAACATTAGCAAGATGCTTCAAGATGTGGATTTCCATGGTGAGTGGTGCTCGTATTTTCTGTGGCTTTTTATAAGTGACATGATTTGCTCGGTCTTTTTGTATGTAGAACATCAAATCTGTGTTTGATACTGCTATTAAGGTTGTGCTTCAACCTCCGAGAAGGAAGGAAATGATAAAGAAGAAAAAGAGGAGAAGATCGGGTTGCTCAATTATGTAAGTAATGAACTCATCATGCATGATTTTCCCCTTTGTCTTAACTTTAAGGCTTGCATATGCTTATTATGCCATATTTTACAAGTGCAATTCAGTCAATCATTACCTGGATTTGTGAATGAAGTTCAAATAGTTGAAGCTTTGAGGTGTTGAGGATTTGATGGAATGGTAAATTATAAACTGAAAAGATTTTATGCTACTGCTGGAGCAACCGGTACTTGTGCTCTATCGGGCAAAAGCAAAACCCAGGGTAGGAGTGTCTTTTAGGACCAACCCATTGATCAACCTTGAAAAACAGATGAGTGGGCATCTTGAATCTGCCTGAACAAATTCATGTCCTAGGACTGTATAGAGACTGTCCAATTTTTGGACAATCAATTTAGGCGTTTCGGAATTCAAAATCCTCTCTCTCTCTCAAAATACTGTTCTAGTGATCCTAAATTGGATCCCAAAAATTTAGATCAGGATCATCCTAAATTGGTCTTCTTCCCGATGGAGCAGTGTACAATCTGCTTCTGATGAAGCATTATATATGCGTTTAGTTGTAAATTGTAAATGCATAACTTATTTGAGGTATAACCTCATTTATCTGTGTGTTTATTTAATTTTCCTATGCCTACAGTGGCTTTAGACTTTAGTACTGGATGCTATAGAACTAGAGATCCTATGAAGCAATTGTGCCTATTGTTGGTCAGGTTAGCTAGGCGTGGGTGCGATCTGCACTTGCAATTGCCAAACATCAGGATAGCTGTAAACTATGATATGACTGTGTGGGTGCGATCTGCACTCGCAATTGCCAAACATCAGGATAGCTGTAAACTATGATATGAATGTGAGGTTTCGGTCTAGTCTTGAGCTGGTACTGATATGCAGATAAAGAAAACCAATATGATGAACTCTTTTGAGAATGAGCAACACATTCATGATAAATCAATGGAACTGTTTTGAGAAAGAACAACACATGCGTGATCAATCCATGGGACTGTTGCATAAAACTTGACCAAAATTAACCAAATCCTTTTAAAGATTTTTTTGAGTATTCAATCGAGACTAGTGCCACTATAGCCTAGCCGTTTGGACATCATATTCTATCATCTAGGCTCGAACACTTGCCTTTCAATAAAGCGAAACAGAATCTACTTCGTATCTTTTAAAGGAATTTATTGACTTTGGTGCTAAATATAATGAACAGTTGAACCTTTATGTTGCAGGAATATCGTCTGTGGGAGCTCATTTCTTGCTTAAATGCAAGTTTGGTGTGACATTCTCCTTTATGAATGCTTCCCAGACATGGCACGTCTTGTGCGTGTACATGGCAGGCTGAGCTCGATCAACTTTTTGTATATGTGCTTTGACGATATAGAGATTTATGCTTCCCTTTTTGGCAGTGTTTTGATTAGAAGGGGAATCGTTCATTCTCTGGCACTTTATGACAGGATATCTTTTGTTTGTTGCTAATCATGTTATGGGGCCAAGAAATAGCATAGAAATAGAAATGCCATGTTCTTCTCCTTTATCTTGTTTTTGTGTCATTTAATTTTGTTGGCTGTTTTTTGAACTAATTCTAGTGTGTGATTAAAATGGGGGCATATTAAAAAGTTGATAAGATAGCCAGCCATAATAGGAAAATGGCAAAGGAAATCTAGTTATTCTTGGTGTGCTCTAATCTAAAAATCAATTGTAACAAGAATTTGGGCTTGGGATTTCTGAGCATAGTAAAGATATATGACTTTCACTCATACAATAATTTGAGTGCAGTGGTTTCTGATTGACTAAATTTTAATGTCAAATTAGCAAATACACTAATGCAAAAAAACATCAAAATGCATGTTGTTGTGATTAGAAACTCTCTACACCACTTAACAAAAGTGACTTCTGGCAAGATGCATTGCATGGTTTCTTGATGCCTTTTGAGAAATATTTATGGATTTTGGATGTGTAACATATTTAGCATTTGAACGGTTTGCCTGATGCACAAATGCAACGTGCATATACTGTTTGCATTTACTACTCAGTTAGATCTTTTTGCTTGCATGAATGTTTGTCTTTAGATGTGGTATAACATGATGTGTGGGCCGGCAAGCTTTCTATGGGTTTTTGTTTTGTTTTGAGTGAATAAGCTTTCTATGGTTTCTATACATATATGTAATGAGAATTAAATGATTTTGATCAAATGACTTGAAGTGACGTGACAACATCATGCATCATTTCTGGCCTGTCAAGAATAATTGGGCTCTAGTCTCGGATATTGTTATAAGCTCACTGAACAATTAGAGATGGTAGTCGTCCCCAAAACCAGAAATTTGGTGTATGGGGGATCCACATTAAGGTTTCCCTATATGTTATAGGTATATAGTGAATCGAGAATATGTATTACATGCATCCAGACCAGTACAATGAGCATGTATGTGATAAATGCATCGACGATTATCTCATATGCATCGTGGTATATGTTGTTCATGGATGACAGAATTTTGATCTATGAGACCCAAAGTAGTTTCTACACAGTTAGAATTTTGGAAGGATGCTCTAGAATCTAAAGTGGAGATGTGCAACCAGAGTTTTATGTGATCCCATATAATAATGAAGCTGAAAGGGAATTTTTATAGGATAGTTGTGAAACTAGCTTTGTTTTATGGGGCAGAATGTTGGAGGGAACAAAAAAATAACATATGCATATGATAAGGGTAGCTGAGATGATGATGTTGAGATGGATGTGTAGCAAGACAAAGGATAGAATTTGAAATGAATATATTTGTGAGAACTTAGGTGTGACTCCAATAGGTGATAAGATGAGATAAAGTAGACTTAGGTGGGCTGGTCATGTGCAACGCATACTCAGTACACTTATTAAGAAGTGGACCCAATATGACATGGGGTAGGCATAAAAGGATATGGTTGAAAATAGTGAGAAAAGATATAGGGATTTATAGCCTCATCGAGAGTATGACCCTTGATAGAGCAAAATAATGGATTAGGATTTGTGTAGCTGACCCCAATTAATTGAGAAAAGGCTCCAATGATGATGATACATC